AAAAAAAAAAAAAAAAAAAAAAAGAATGAATTGCTGGGTACAGTGGCTCACGCCTGTAATCCCAGCACTTTGGGAGGCTGAGGCAGGCAGATCACCTGAGGTCAGGAGTTTGACATCAGCCTAACCCGCATGGTGAAAATCCCATCTCTACTAAAAATACAAAAATTAGCTGGGCATGGTGGCTTGTGCCTATAATCCCAGCTACTTGGGAGGCTGAGGCATGAGAATCACTTGAACCTGAGAGGCAGAGGTTGCAGTGTGCCGAGTTGCATCACCTCGCTGCAGCCTGGGCGATAAGAGCGAAACTACACCTCAAAAAGTTTCAAACTCCAAGTGTGCCTGGCAGGGTTTAGCAGCACATGGATGACTGCTAGTCTCCATGAGAAGGACCAGGCCCCAGGAGAGAAGCTGGTGGCTGGCTGGCAGCCCCATCCTCTGAATGTGCAGACACACCCACAGGCTCTAGCTGAGGACAACCACAGGGGGTAAGAAGGCGCTAATCTCACTCATGGCTAATGACTTCAAGGTATCACCAGGGGCGGGAGGGGGTGGGGAGTGCAAACTCAAATGAACCCCTCAGCCTAGCATGTCTGAAGGTAAAATCCAGTGTAGGAGCTGAGTAGAAGCTGTCTGGGATAAAGACCCGTGATGACAGAAGTGACACAACCACAGACAGCTCTGCCAGGGACAGGCCTCTCAGCACTTTGCTCCCATCAACCCCCTTACTCCTCACACCAGCTCCCAGCATCTTGGCAGGCGATATGATTATTACAGGTGAGGGGGTGAAGGAGCTCACGGAGCTCACACCGCAGGGGAGTGGCCAAGTGGATCTGAACCCACTGTCCACCCAGGTGATCATGCGGTACAGCGTCCTGCCTAGGAGGCTGTGGCATCCGCTGCCAAAACTGAGGGAACGTGTCGTGCCAGAATGCCAAATGCAAACTGTGTGAAAAGTACTACCCAGCTGAAAATGTGACAAAATGATTAAAAAAAAAAACAAACCAAGAATACCTTATCTTTAACGATGCTCTCTTGACACGCGGTACATTTTGGACTTGAGGAGCTGTCGGGAAACACACACGACCGCATTAGAGTGGAGTCCCTTTCCTGAGGGGACTCAGGAGATTCCCGGAGCATTCGCTCTACGGTCAGGTCTGCACAGCGGCTCACAGCAATAAGCAGAGCTTCAGGTCGCCCTCGTGATTTGCGTTATGGAGGAAGCCATGGGAGAAAAGGGCTGCATTTTTTAAATGGTGATTTTTTTCAAAAGGAAGTTACCAAGCAGAGCAGCTTAGTTCAGTCCCACTTGGAAAGCCCCCTCCACTTAATATAAAAGTGAAATTTTATTTTAGAAACCAAAGCCAGGTGTCTGCAGAGCAGCCCTTCGGTGTAAATACCTGTTTACTTGGAGAGCCTTGCTCCTGCTTTGTAAAAGCAGCCAGCCCTTCTCCACAGGCCACTTGCTTCACTGTCTATTGGAAGGCCAGTGGTACCCGCACAGGCGGACCAGCCTCCCTCCCCTGTGGCCACCCTAAAGCAGGGCTCCAGCCCCTCCTGCACCGGGAGGCTTCTCCTGGGCCCACAGTGTAGTCCAGTTCTTGTGTTAGGAGACATGGTGTTCTGTGTCTCCTGTGCTGTCACTAAGCCCAAATGTCATTTTGCCCCCAAGTGGGCAAAGGTGAGTTGACTCTTTGGGATGAGTGGGCAAGACCACAGAGGAAAGCACAGAGAAGGAGCAGGGCGGGGGGTGAAGGTAAGTGACAGGGCAGGGGGCTGGCTGCTAGGCCCAGGCTGGGGCTCGGGGGCAGCCTGGGCTTGAGTGCTGTGGGGGGAGGAGCTGGCAACCTTCCCAGGCCAACATGCCCTGATGGCAGTGGCCAAAATCAGGGTATCCTGCGGCGACCCCAGCACCAGCACCATGCCAGAAAACACGAGGCCTGCAGGGTGAATCCAGGTGCTGTCCTGGCCGATGCTATGCTGCAGGGAAGCTCCAGCCTGCCTTCACGGTCCTCCAGCGTGCTGGCGCCGGCGCTCAGCAGTGAAGGGCTGCCAAGGGCTGGGTGCACGTTGCACACGCGCCTGCTATGTAAGCGTGCGGCCCAGGTTTCTGCTCCGGCAGGGACCCACCCAGTCCTTGAGGCTGACCCCATCCTCCCGCCTCTTTCCAGCACCTTGCACACCAGCACACGTGCCCTTAAATGACTGGCTTATTTCCTGGTGTGTCTCCTCCATGGAACCGTGAGCTTCCTCAATAAAATACCGCAACACATACAAGGGGCGCCAAGGCTCTGCGGGCAGAGTGGAACGACGCGGGCGGGATGGGTCAGACAAATGGAGGCCTCAGTAAACTCAGATGCGGGGTCCCACGGTACCTCCCCAGCAGATTCACAAGCGGGGCCCAGGGGCTTTTACGGACTTCTTCAGGGCTTTACACCGCTAGAGGTTTTATTTTAAAGAAACGAATGAAGGACAGAGTAAGGCCAAGGGCCAAGGAGGCGGCAGGTGGGGGGCCGGGCAAAGGCGCCTACCTCAGCAGGGCAGCCATGCAGCTCTCGCAGAAGCGGTGGCCACACTCGGTCTGCTTCGGGCTGCACAGCACCAGGCGGCACTTCTCACACTTGTACTTGTCTTCTACGGCCTTCACAAACTTCTCCTTGTAACCTCCTTGCTCAGGGACAAAAATCGGCGTCCCTGCACTGCGGTCAGTGTGCAGCTTCAGCGGCGGGTTGGTCTGCAGCGTGCCAGGGGAGTCCATCTTCTTACTCGACTCCATTTTAGGAAGGAGGCGTTCTGCTGGGAAGGACAGTAAAGAGCGCGCCGTCACATCCTCATGCCGGGAAACACACAGCTTTGGGAAGGCAAAAGCGTCTGAGACGTGCTGTCTTTTGGTTTTAGGTAACAAAAGAATCCTTCCAACTTTAATATGTGTTGGGAACAAAACATGATCAAATATGCTTCCCTCCTTTCTGTTTTACCCAAACACACAGAAACTATTGATATTACTATTCAAAGAACTTCCTAAAAGGTGTACTTAAGAAACTGGGCGAGGCACAGAGGCGCACACCTGTGGTCCCAGCTCCTTGGGAGGCTGAGGTGGGAGGACTGCTGAGCCCGGGAGGTAGAGGCTGCCCTGAGCTATGACGGCACCACTGCACTCCAGCCTGAGTGCAGAGCGAGGCTGTCTCCACAAATTTAAAAAGGTTAGTAATAAACAGAGTATTCTTGAGGTTTAAAAAAATTACACATACAGTACTACTTTGCTGTGTCGTAACTCTGAATTCAATGCATCATTCTGAGCTTTTGGCTAAACAACGGCTGTTCTCAGCCAGTTTTCCTTCCTCTCTGACTTCTGCTAGATGACTCTCGATGCCACAACTCAGGTTGGCCTGGTCAACCTGCTTCTGGAGCCCAGGAGCTGCTCCTTCCCGGGGAAGCCCTGTGAGGTGTGCCCACAGTACCCAAAGTGCTCCGTTTTGACGTCCACCCTCATCTTATTAATCTAGCACCACCATGACCCAGCAGGCTGAGCACAGGGCTGCGGGGTGGGCCCACTGTGGACGACAGAGCACGCCACACCACGGTGCGCTGGAGGGGAGCATGTGAGGGGTGTGGCTCCCTGCGTGCACAAGGGGGCTCAGGTAGATGCCAATGTACCCAAGGGCTGTGCTGGTAGAGGGGACACCACACGGGTCTCTCTTCCACACCTGCTGACAAGGTACTCTGTGAGACTGGCTGCCTCCCACCTGCAGGTTCCCACCAACAGGTAAAGCAAACAGCTCCCCAAAATGAGCCACAAAGGTCCCTGCCTGCACAGCTCTGCCAAAGGATACCTCAAGATCAAGTAAACGACAATAACCAGGAACATGAAGGAGTTGAATTGAGTTCCTGAAGAAACTTGAGCTTTAATAAAAATTACACGGTGCACTCATAAACACACTAATAATTTGATCAATGATCCTAAATACATGCTAACACTTATCCAAAGCACAAATTAAATGTTTCCAGATGGTGGAATGAAGTCTGGCTTCTCTTGTCTTTGTTTTCTGGATACCGTGCAGTGGCCATTTTTACAAGGAAAAAATCCTTGTGAATGCTGGCCAGTGTGGAGGTCAGTTTGCACACCATGAACTTTCTTGAAAAGTTTTTGCCCAGTGCCTTATGACCTTTATGAGGTCTCTGCAGGGCAGCTCCGGCTCAGATGCCCTTCCTGTCTCAGGCTCAGCCACACCACTCCCCTCCTCAACAGCTCCTGGCCGGCCCTGCACCCCCATGTACCTTGGTAAGGAATGAGGGGCTGTGAAGGGAGGAGAGGGACCCAGTGAGCACCAGACTCAGAAGCCTCAGGGAACACCGCTGCCTCGACCAGCCGCCTCACATCAGCCACCTCTGCACTGCAGGGTTTTTCTTGTGTAGAATTTCCCACCTCCACACCTCCTCCATCCTTTCCCATGACACGGTAACGCCTCAGGTAAACAGAGGAAGTTTCTTTCAAAAGTAACTCACCATCTCCCTCAAAAATGCACTGCGTTCCTTCACTCAATTCATCTGTTTGCTACTTAGAGAAGTAGGAGCCAAATTCCTTCCACTCCTGAGGTCCTGGGCATGGGGGGGAGGTAGCTATTGGGTGGGCAGCAAAGCCCCTCCTTCCAAGCCCCGTTCTTGCTGCCTGCATGAAGCTGACAGGCACATGAGCTAAGAGCCTCCCAGCCCGACTTCACAGCTAGGAGAAAACAGGAATGAACGCTGGCAGCAGAGAACTTCAGAGACTGATGAACTGGCGTTCCAGCCACTGGGTCAGCTTCACAAAACATTGCTGTGGCAAAGTGTGGGAAATTGCTTACTTGTGAAAACAAAAAGTTTTAAAAACGTTGATGTTAAGGTATATGTATCGTAGGTGTCTTTTCTGTCTTTGCTTACAAACTTGCTGGTCCATTACGATGCTCACTCATCTTTCCAAGCCAAGCAGCAAGGGCAGCTGGTGCTAGCCTTGACCGCCAGGTATCAGGGTCAACCAGCCTCGACCTGTGGCCCTGGCCCTGGCTGCCACTCTGCTCTCCACACTGGCCCGATGTCCCTCAGGTGCTCTGAGTTCCCCTAGGCCCAGCCAGGCCACTGCAGAACCCACCCAGACACACGCAGGCCAGCCCCCCACCTTCTCCAGGAGGCCACCCTCCCATCCTCCCCTCTCACTCAACTCCTGCAGCCCGCTCTGTGCTTTCCCGGACCTCCTGCTGCTAAGACTGCATATAACTATGTTTCTCCAGGGTATATCCCCTAGAACAGAGAATCAGGAATTGGCAAACTACAGCCTCTGGGTCAAATCTAGCCAGCAGCCTATTTTTGTAAGGTCTTTGAACTAAGAATACTTTTTAGATTTTTTTTTTTTTTTTTGAGATTGAGTCTTGCTCTGTTGCCAGGCTGCAGTAAAGCGGCACAATCTCAGTTCACTGCAAACTCCGCTTCCCGGGTTCAAGCAATTCCCCTGCCTCAGCCTCCCAAGTAGCTGGGACCACAGGCACGCGCCACCACACCCAGCTAATTTTTTATATTTTAGTAGAGGTGGGGTTTCACCATGTTGGCCAGGATGGTCTCGACCTCGTGATCGGCCCGCCTTGGCCTCCCAAAGTGCTGGGATTACAGGCGTGAGCCACCATGCCCAGCCTGCTTTTTAGATTTTTAAAGTGTTATAAAACAAAGACTAAGTGTGTATGTGGTTCACAAAGCCTAGGATATTTACTTTCTTGTCCCTAACAGAAAGAGGTGACCAGTCCCTGCTCTAGACTCTACATCTAGAGAACACAGAGGAGTTGCTGGCGCATAGGTTGTATGAAAGGCCAAGTTTGTAACTGAGCACCAAACTGCTCTCCAAAGCACAGGTAACAACAAACACTTCCACCAGCAGCACGGGAATGTCTGTGAACCTACACTCTCACCAACACTTACAGTTATCAGTCATCTTCATTTCTACCAACCAAAGACAAGAATCTTGCTGGCCCTCATCCTGGTTAGAAAGGTTTGGCATCTTTTCATATGCTGAGAAGCCACTTGTTTTTTCTTCTGTGAAATGCCAAATTGTGTCTCCTTGTCATTTTTTTCTTTGTGTGTGTGTGTGTTTTCAGGAGATGGAGACTCATTCTGTTGCCCAGGCTGGAGAACAGTGGTGCCATCATGGCTCATTACGGCCTCAACCCCGGGCTCAAGCAATCCTCCCACCTCAGCCTCCAGTGTAGCTAGGATTATAGGCACATGCCACCAGTCCCAGCTAATTTTTTAATTTTTTCAGGAGCTGGGGTTCTCGCTGCATTGCCCAGCCACCTCTCAAACGATCCTTCTACCTCAGCCTCCCAAAGTGCTGGGATTATGAGCATGAACAACTGCACCTGGTACTGTCATTTTTTAATTGCATTATTTTCCCTTGCAATATTTATGTGGAGAGATCCTACATCTATTTACTCTGTTAACAGCTAATCCTTTGTTAGTTATATGTATTACAGATGTCTTTTCCCCATTTATGGCTTGACTTTGTTGTTTTAATTACTATACTTTAAGTGTAGGTTTGTTACATAGATATACATGTACCATGGTGGTTTGCTGCACCCATCAACCCGTCATCTATATTAGGTATTTTTCCTAATGTTATCCCTCCCCAATCCCCCCACCCCCGCTCTTCCTCCCTTAGCCCCCTACTCCCTGTCAGGCCCCAGTGTGTAATGTTCCCCTCCCTATGTCCATGTGTTCTCACTGTTCAACTCCCATAGTGTTTGGTTTTCTGTTCCTGTGTTAGTTTGCTGAGAATGATGGTTCCCAGCTTCATCCACGTCCCTGCAAAGAAGATCAACTCATTCTTTCTTATGGCTGCATAAGTATTCCATGGTGTATATGTGCCACATTTTCTTTAACCAGTCTATCACTGATGGACATTTGGGTTGGTTCCAAGTCTTTGCTATTGTAAATAGTGCTGCAATAAACATACGGGTGCATGTATTTAGAAATATGGAACTGCTTCATTAATTTGCATGTCATCCTTGCTCACGGGCCATGCTAATCTTTTCTATATTGTTCCAATTTTAGTATACGTGCTGCCAAAGCGAGCACTATGGCTTGACCTTATTTATGGTGTCTTTTAATGAAAAGAAATCTTAATTGTATTAGGCTGAGCCCACGTGGTGGCTCATGCCTGTAATCCCAGCTGGGAGGATCGCTTGAGGTCAGGAGTCCAAGACCAGCCTGGCCAACATGGTGAAACACTGTCTCTACTAAAATACAAAAATTAGCCGGGCATGGTGGCACACGCCTATAGTCCCAGCTACTTGGGGGGCTGAGGCAGGAGAATTGCTTGAACATGCCTATAGTCCCAGCTACTCGGGAGGCAGAGGTTTCAGTAAGCCCAGATTGTGCCACTCCACTCCAGCCTGGGCAACAAAGTAAGACTCCATCTCAAAAANAAAAAAAAAAAAAAAAAAAAAAAAATTCTGATTAACTTGTGAGTGATGCTGGTAAAAAAGGGACCGTCCAATATACACAGAAAAACAGAAGGCAGACCTAATTCTATCACAGAAGCAATGCCAAAAGGAGGTATTCTCAGTGAGACTAGTAAATGAGCCACTATGTCAAATTGACAGATATTGCTCAAGGAAAACATGCTTTCTAAACAAAAGCTGAAGAAAGAAATGACATGAACCCTGAGCAGAGCTAGCCAGCAGCCCCGTGACCTTCTGTAGCAATAAGATGGCCACAGGATTGAACTGGCTGCTGGGAAAGCAGGAGACAGACGCCTCAACAGGCACCAGAAC